ATGCATGACCCTCTTCGTTTTTCAGACTCAGCTCAAAAGTTTCCCATCAATCTAGAGAAACCTACATTTTTCTGCTCAGAGAAAGGGGAAAGCAGAACAGGTTGAAGGGAAGAGGTGGGGTGAATGAAAGGAGTTTAGGGGAGCTAGGCAGGCCCAAGAGACCATGGGGGGAGTTGTAGGGTAGGGATTGGAGTATGAGCATCTTCCTTTGTGCCTTTACGTCTGCCTTGGAAAACCACCCAGTCTTCTGAGCTTGAGACTTGGAAGCACTCTTCTTCGCAGTGAAGTGATGTTTTTCAGGATGGGGAAGTAACTGGTTCTTTACACATACTCAAGAACAAAACCAGTCAATTCTGTAAACCTGTGAATTAATGCTATGCCCCCCCCCCTTTTTTTTGGGGGGGGGGGGATCATTTCTTGAGAAAGACATTTTAATGTAATTATAAGCTATCAAGAAATGGGAAAGAATTTTGTATTTTGTATGCAGGCCTGAATAAATAGATCCATTGAGAGACAGACAGAGCAAGTCACTTGGAATGTACCAGTCAACAGCAGAAATGTAAATGTCATCCAGCTACGCTCCCTGCACTTGTATTTCAGCGTGCCACAGAATAAAACTGCTATTAATGCAGGCTGAGTGCTGCTCTTGTTGAATTCAGTACTGGGTCCAACACAAAATCCAGTTTAATTCACAGGCTGTGGATCAGAACCACATTGTCTGACACACTGGAAACCCAGGAAGGCAGGAACCTACAGAATCATAGAATCATTTAGGTTGGAAAAGACCTTCAAGATCATCGAGTCCAACCATCAACCATGCCCACTAAACCATGTCCTGAAGTACCCTATCTACTCACTTTTTGAATACCTCCAGGGATGGCGACCCAACCACTTCCCTGGGCAGCCTACTCCAATGTCCGACAACTCTCTCAGTAAAAAAATTTTTCCCCAATATCTAACCTATGTCTCCCTTGCCTCAACTTGAGGCCATTTCCTCTCATTCTATCTCCAGCCACCTGACAGAAGAGACCAGCACCCACAACTTGCTGCAAAGGAGTCTCTGGTCCATCTTAAAATGAGGTGAAGTTGGTTTGCAGAGCTGAGTAGGTTTAGAGTAACAGCAAGTGAATAAAATGCTGAGTCCAACAGTTCTTTGTCTCTGGTTCCAACATGTTCATGCAAGCTTATCTCATAGATAGGTAGATCTACCATGTATTTATCTTCATCCCGTACCAGTCCTTATGAAGTAGCATTCACTAAGACTGTTGCTTTGTGAATTATGATAAATTACAGAAAGCCACTATAAGAATCTGTTAGAATTTTAGCCTTTAAAGAGCAGGTTACTGGAAAAAAAGAAGTGTAAAAATCAAACACAGCTCAATTGGTTGTGCTGAAACTAGACTTACTCTGGCAGCTGTAGCGTAGCAATATTAATTAATTTATCTGTGTATAAAAACAAAATAACTTTTGCATCCTATCTCTTGATGGTTTTTTGTTTGGGGGTGGTTTTTTTGGTCATCTTGATGCAATGAATGTCACCAAACCTGATAGTGTGATGTTATAGTTGTTTTTATTCCTGGGTATAAAAATGTTTTATTTATGAGGAGTGTATAACAATGATACCAAGAAGGAAAAGCTTATTCACAAACAGAGGTAAGATCTATCCCCCAAGAGGCTTGGCTATCTGGAAAGCAGGTCTGACATGCAGGAATCTTCAGCTTGCACTGGTGGAATCTCTTGGCAAGTAGAATTTCCTTGACTATAAAAGACTTCTTATAGCATTTTTTTCTTTTTCTACACCTTTTCTTTTGATTGGGCTTTGAGGGACCTCAAAAAGCAACATTAGATACTGAGCTGCATGCTGAAATTCCCTTGCCTGATTTTTGCCATTTTACATATTTCCTTGCACCTTTTACAGGTCCTTCTTATTTGATGTTGAGTAAGTCACTTCTTTCTTCAGCTGCAGGTTTATTATAGGGTCAAAGGAATTATTACAGCCTCTTGCCTTGTCTCATGATTGTGAAGTACTGCAAGTGTTATATTCCTTTGGCAGGACAGAGACATAGTATAGCACAGTCAAATCAAACTGAGCAATAGCTTCCTTACGTGTTTAAAAATAGAAGATACATGTCGGTTTCATAAGGCAGATGAACCTTAATTGCTGAATGTTTATAGGAAGTTTTGAGATGGTCAGAGGCAAGGTCCTATGTAAATACATTATTTTATTAAAGTATTTAATAACCAAATTCTCTGACCCAATAGAGGGAACAAAGATGCCTGTCCACTGTTAATTTTCCCTACCCATAATTATTTCTACAGAACATGAATTACATATTGTACAGCTTTATTCTGTTTTCAGAGGATAATTATACTAGAACTTCCAGCCTTCTTTCTGTGCAGGGACCTCTTTCTCAGAAACCACACCTTGTAGCCGTCTGTTTTTCATTTGAGAAGGATTGAATTCCCATTTATGTCAACAAGTTTTTATGGATTGACTACTTTCAAAAGATGGATACAGGTAAAGTGGGAAGCCCTTATTCACAAATCATAATAATTCCATCTGGAAGATTTGTTGGAAGCTGATGATATAGGATTGGAAGCTTTTTTGCATGTGAAATCTGTTGGAGATTATTCCTAATTTCATGCCTGCTATTGTAACCGAAAGAGGAGCCTGTAATTCCTGTTGTGGTCATCTGAGCATTTCCAGTGGTATCTCCATACTGAGGGGAAACTTGGACTTGGTTGCAAATGAGGCAAGGCAGGATGCAAAAGAGACAGTACCATTTGCTCTGTGTATGAGATTGGAGGCTTTTATGGATATATTTACATAAGCATTTAAGGAGTTTAATGAACTGAAAGCCAGGGTCTTAAAGTAAGGTTCACAACCCACTTGTAACATACCAGGAGGGGGGCAAGTCTTTCATTCTCCAACATTAAAGACTGGTGGACCCAGTATACTTTCAATTTCCTAAGAGCAAACTACTGTTTCAGAAATGTTCCAACTTAGTAATAATCTAATAGTCACATTTCACTGTTTTTTAGCATCCACAAGTAGCAAAATTATATTCCTGTGGGAGCAATTTTAGTAAGGGGGTAGCAGCAAGGAAACTGAATTCTGTTTTAAAAAAAAAAAAAAACAAAAAAAAACAAAAAAACCAAACAAACCAAAAACCTGTTCGACTCTTACTTCTGCTGGAAAAGTTTGTTTGGGTTTTTTTTTTATGTGGCTGTGGTGTACTCAAGGCTTCTTTTTTTTTTTTTTTTCCTTCATCATTGCATATGCAAAATCCAGACCTGCAGAATTGTTCCATGTGGTAAACAGTCTGCTGAACCCAGACTGTTTTGCCTGAGTAGCAGATTTCCATATACCTCATTATGAGTTTGGGGTTTTTTGATTTATGTAGACTCTGTTCCTTCAAAGGGATGTACGACTGTAGACCTTTATACCTACCAAAGTGATATCTTTTCAAGTACTGAAGAAAATACAAGGGCAGGTCCTGCTGGAGAATAAGAGCCTTATTTTGCAGAGAAGAACCTTCTTTCCAGCCGGTTTATTTTTTCATGGAAACAACATGTAAACAGGAGGCCACAAAGTAACTTAGCTTTTGAAGCTTTTTAATTGCACTCAACAAGGTTCTGGATGTTTAGTGAATTATGTAGACCACAGTGTGTAATGCAAATTCACATCCCTTTTGACTGGTAAAAGACTGTAAGAAAGATTTAGGTCAGTACTGCTAAAAGAAAGTAGCATGGACTTCAGCTGGTTGTTGCCTTATACAACCCGATTTAAATAAAAAATGCTAGATCTTTCCCAACCAAAGAAGCCATTATCCTTGGCAGTAGCAGGCGTGCTTCAGTCTTCCGTCCTATGATAAAGGCATTTGATTAAGATGCCTAAATACACGTCTGAAGTTATTTTATTTCTGTGGATTCCTACCATTCCAGTCTAAGCATGGACAGAGTTAATATCTTTGTTCATGTTACTTCCCTCTGGGAATGAACAAAATCATAAAATCAGGGAATATAATCATAAAATAATGTAGATTGGAGGGAACTTCTGCAGGTTATCTGGCCAAGCCCCTCCTCAGAGCAGGGCCAGCTTAGATCAGCATGCTCATGGCAGTTGTTTAGGTGAGCTTTCAGCAAGTCTGTGGATGGAGATTCCCCAGCCCCTCTGGGCCTGTCTTCCAGTATTTGATTACTCTCATTATGAAAACGTTTTTCCTAATAGCTAACCAGAACTTCCTTTGTTGCAACGCATCTTCATTGCCTTTCATGGTGTCACTGTGCACTTCCAAGACTCCAGCTCCATCTTCTCTATATTTTTCCATTAGGTAAATGAAGGCATCAATATGCCTTCAGTAATAACATGCCTTCAACTCCCCTCTTTAATATCCCCCCCTCCCCAGTGTTCTCTTAAGAGAGACCGAACAAACTCATTTCTTTCAGTATCTCTCCTTACATCATGTACCTAATAATCTTTCTGGACCATTGCCCCCTTGATCTAGGAGGTTAACATCTGTGTTGTACTGGGAGGCCCAAAATTGGAGTAGATGGCATGACTGACGTGCATCTGGCCATCCTCAGTCCAGATTATTCTGTGTATTCTTAGCTGGTTTGACTAAAGGTGGCTTTTTGAATGATTCAAGACTCAAAGTCCTCTCCTCCCACAATCACAACATATCTTAACTACAGTGCTCTGCATCTTATTGATGAGGGCTGAGAAAAAGAACTCTTTACAACAAAAAAGCTGTTTCCTGACAGAATGCTTTGCATTAGTGATACTCTTGATTACAGTAGTTTAATTACAATGGGTCATGGTATAGCCGGTTTTTGTAGATGGTATCACTCAATACTTTTTATATCACCACAGCATAAAATACACTTCCTCATCATGGCCCTCTGACTTTAAGCATAGTGAAAGAGGACCGTGTAGAAATCACTTTCAAATCCCATGGACTGTATGTGTAATGTACTGTTAAATTAACTTCTGTTTCTAGTGCGCTTGGAGGATCATCTGCCCTTCACATCCCAGCCTTTCCTGGTGGAGGTTGTCTTATCGACTATGTACCCCAAGTATGCCAGCTGCTAACAAACAAGGTAGGTTAGTAAAGAGAACTCAATTTTGTTTTCCCTTATGTGCTGTACTGTATTGCAGTAACACACTGCAGCATTTCCATAGACATAGTTTTTCTGCCAGGTAGTCCAAGTAGGGCATACTTAAGGTGAACTACACAAGGAATACCTGCTTGATAAGAATTGAGCACCTAAGCAGGGCAATGAATATAATGACTCTTTTAGGTAAACAAGAGTGTTTGGGATCTGATCCTGGAGCGGATTTTTCTTACCGTGGCATGTTATGATTTAGGATAAAATGTTGTCTCATACAACACTGCATTGTAGCATACTATTTTGCTAATAAATACAAATGTGTAGTTGGCATATTTTTCTTCCAGTTGGAAGTTCTCATACCATAGTCATCATTGTAGGTTTTGAGTACTTTCAGTGATTTTCTTCTCAGATGTTTCATGCAAAAGAACTGAATTGGCAGCCTATTTGCATATTTATATAGTAATAGCTACTTAAGGTTACTGAAAAGATTGTGGTCCGGTTAGCTTACTGTTTAAACAAAAAAGAGTGAGTATTGTATTTTGAAAGCTTCTCCGTTATTTAAGTGTAATTTTCAAAAGAAAGTTTGGGGGCCAACATCTAGAAATCTGCCTATTACAGACCTCCTCTTTGTATTTGTGTATTATTTTTACCTTTAATTGTCCAAATGAGGAAAATAATTTTATCCTTTAGAAAAAGTTCTTCAAAATGTGTTTCCATAATTATTTTGGAATCTATCTTTAGAGTTGTTTTTGTGGTTTTCTGTTAAAATTACTTTCTGTTTTTAAAATCTGCAAGTACATAGGACTGTTTTTATCGTTTCTTAAACAAAGTCACTTAAGCAAACTTATCGTATGTTTTCCTTTTCCCAAAATAACATTTCAAATCTTACACAAAGTGTTCAAAATAATTGTTGTTTTTTTATAAAATCAAATAAGTCTCAATTTATAAATAGAATTTAACTTTACGGGGTACAAGATAGCTCTCAGCAATGATTGTATCAAGGCTTTTTCAAAAAATTTAGGAAAGCATTTGCCAGCCAAGGAATTCTAGTATTACCACAGGCAAGAAAAATATTCTTCGTGTTCTTTTCATGTTCAGTGGGGGAAAAAGGTTTTTTAAATGTTAGTTTTCATTCTGGAAGGCAAAGGGATTTACATAGGGAATCACATATGGAACCGTACTGTGAGTACTTGAAGTAACCAGTTGTAAACCAGATGCCTTGCATCCTGACAACACGCGCATTGTTCCTGTTATGGGTCAAACACTGTTCACACTGTTCTGCTAAGTAATCCCATTCAAATCACTAAGAAAACATATAAGGTGAGAGGAGAATTTTGCCTTAAGTCTTCCAAGTTTAGCATTGTTGGATTTTCTGTGCCAGGATGGAAGTCTTTCAAAACCCAGAATGCCTCAGAAATTGATGCTCACAGTTGAGTAGGTGGATCCCTGAGTCAGCATGAAACCACTGAGAGAGCTTAGTGTTAAGAAGATTTTGTTGGATGTGTATGCTTCAGAAAACACACAAGATCAGTTGTGATTTTTCTCTCTCTCTTTTTTTTTTTTTTTTTTTTTAATAACCAGAATGTTATTGTGACATTTAACCAACTGTCAGTTCAGGTAACTATGATTGGCCTATCGTGGCTTCCTGCTGAAATTTCAGCAAGGCAAGGTTGTATATTTCTTTTCTTCACTCTTTATCTTGTGCAGTTAAACAGCACTTTATATTGTGAAAGACAAGTTTCACTCCGAAGTGAGTGAAGAGATTTCTTTACAAGGTTTTCTGCGTGCAAAATCCACTGTTTGTTTTAAAAACATTTTAGGATTCTTTAGGGAAATCATGCAAGCTAAATGTAGGATTCAGAACTACTACCATGTCAAACATAAGTCTTCCTTAATGAGGAATATATGACAAATTGGGAGCATTGGCTTTTTTTATCTTTTTATAGCTCTGGATTTGTTTGTTTCTTTCTTTTTTAAGGTACAATATGTTATTCAGGGATACCATAAGAGAAGAGAGTATATCGCAGCTTTCCTGAGTCACTTTGGAACGTAAGTTTTCTTTTGATGCGTTATTTTCTGTAGCATGGGACAAAGTGTTGTTTTCTGCACATGGTCTTTGGCTGTGTGACTGCTGTCCACTGGATAAGATGAAATCTGGTCATTTTTCACAGAGTGATGTGTATAGATGGTCTCTCTGTAGCAGTACTGGAATGAAGTTCATCATTACTTCACTTCTGTGCCAGCTGCCAATCTGTTTTTACTAGAAAATAGCTGATGATGGGAAAAGGACAGTAGGAATTTTCTTCTTTAGCAAAAGAAATGTGCTCATTTCTGAATAAATGACTGTGGAGGGGTCTTACAGTAATAGGCAGTGACTGAGATGGAAGGACAGGGAAGCGGGTACTTTTCCAAGTCTTGCAGGAGCCAGAAACCACTGTTCGGCATAAAGGCAGGACTGGGAGACCAGCTGCTCCCACTGCTGAGCAGTATCTTGTCTCAGGAGAGAAAGGGCTGTCGGGTCGTGCTGAATTCCTGGAGTTCAGAAGTCCGTGGCCTGCCATGATGACACATTATCTTCACAAACCAATTAATCAGGGGTGCCTTGGCACTCTGAAGGGTAAGCACTTTGATTTCCCACCTAAATCCTGACTTGAGTGAGAGAGAGTCCAGGAGCCGATGCAACAGCGATTGCCTGACCAGCAGTGCTTTATCTCATTGTGAGGAGGGGGTTTCTGATTCTGGTGATGCCAAATGACATGGATATTTGGGAGCCCTTTCAATCTCAGGTCTCTCAAGTGAGGGTAGGAAATCAGGTGCCTTCTAGCATGCACGCAAATTTTATACAACTATAGATAGATAACAATTACTTGAATTGGACATATGAGTAGGTAGAGAGTCGATGCAAGCTCAGTCCTTATGAAAACAAGATAATTTCTTTTTCTTCTGAGAAAACTACAGTATAGAAATGGCCCAGGTGTGCCTATGATTTTATTACACTTGCAAAGTCATTCATGAGTCCTGATGCGGCTTGAGACTTCCAGAGAATACCGGCTCCTGATGGTTGAAAGTTTTAATCCATCTACTGAACAACTCTTCTATATTTAATTTTTGTATGTTCTCATGCTTTGCATTTCTTCTGTATACTCTTTTGAATTTTCAAATTTAAACTCTTCTCAGCCTGCACATTTTCAATTTTATCCTGTCAGTACAGAGTTAATAATTTATCTTAATCTGAGTAACATACAGGGAATTTGTGTGTGTACAGTTTTTATCAATTTAGCGCTGCAGATGCATTAGCAGGTCTCCTTTCATTCTAAAGTGTATTTATATAAACTGAACATGGCCTTTCTTTGCATAAGAAACTCCAATACCACAGCACAAATAAGAAGATTATTAAGAGTAAAAGTTTAATCTAATTTTAATTTAGCTAGAAAACTGTAACTGTTAATAAATAAAGCAAATACTGGAAGTTTCTGAACAAACAAACAAAACAATCCTTGTAATACAGAATTTGCATATTTATCATTCAGTATTAGAATGAATGGTAGGTTAAAATTGTATTCATTTTTTTGTATATTTGTTGATAGTGGTGTGGTGGAATATGATGCAGAAGGCTTCACAAAGCTCACTCTGTTGCTGATGTGGAAAGATTTTTGCTTCCTTGTTCACAGTGAGTAGCTCTTTGCCTCGGGCATAAATGTCCATCCTCGTGAAGATAGAAGTTCAAAAGGGAAAACATACAATTACAGGAAACAGTTTAAAAGTTTTAGCTATTTTTATCCAGTTCTTAATGTATTTTTGATGTGACCATGACACTTTGAAAGCACAAAATCCTGACTGTATTTGGAGAAAGGGAGAGGACCCACATTGGTAGCATACTGCCTGCTTTACAGAATGCCAAAAGCGTCCTGGGAAGGTTTTCTGGTAATTTGACTCAGGATTAAGTTCACAGTTGTAACTTGTCCTTTCAAAAGTGCCAATAATGAGGACCAATACTATACATAACCCGGGAGTACCTAAAATCTTCTGTAATTGTCAGGATTTAATGCATTGATAGTGATAGTAAAGACACTTTAGTGTAGGGAAAATATAGTAAATGAGAAATAATGCTATACAGTCGTTAGGAGCCAAAAGTTATTCCTAGACTGAAACTGTGTAGGCAAAACTGTCTAACAGTTGCTACAGTATGTAGCTAGACTTGCTGTCATTTGAAATTTTTAAATCAAGATTGTATTACTTTCAAAAAGACATTCTTAATTAAATAAATATGTAGGAATTGCTTCATTTAGAAATTAGTAAGTGTGGCTTTGTTACTGCTTTATACATGTTAACCTAAGTAGCAATTACTGTTTTTCCCTATGATAAGGTGAAATTCACAGGTATCAGAGATATTGGTCTGGGGAAATTCAGTCATGTTACCCTTTATTTTTAATTGTTACACTTCTCATCTTTGTTTAAAATAATTGCAGTGCAATCTGGGCAGCTGCAACACTGGTGTTTGTTAACACTCTAGCACTGAAATATTTTAGATTATGTCATTTTTGATTGTGGGCTAGCTTTTCATGTGGAAAACTAAGGATGTCTTAATGACATCATAGAAATTTGTCCCAGAGCTTTTAAAGCAAGAAGTGGGGATTGCCATTGTTCAGAGAAGTCCTTCACCCTGTGTTGTGTTGGAGATCACAAAAAATGGTCTCACTGATCCCTATCACCTAAGATTTCCAGACCGTAATGACCATAAAGAGGTCTAGAAAACTCAAACTTGAAATTAAAAAACTTCCATCATACTACTGTGACTTACGTTGTGGAAAAAAAAAAGAAACAAAAATGATATTTTTTGAAAAATTGTCCTTATTACATCTTTACTTACTCTTCCACTACAATTGAGAATTGGTCACTGGGCAATTGTCTTCTGTGAGATGATGCTTCTTTATGTACAACCTTCTTCAAGTGTTCCTACCTTCTTAACTCCCCAATATGTTTGGCTTAATTTTATCAACATTAAAATTCCTGTGGATTTGATTTTTGCTGTGGGATAATATAAATTAATAGATGTTGAAGCAGTTAGATTTCAGCGGAATCAAAATTCAAATTTCTATTAAATAACAGAGTAGGTTTTAACTGGGTAATACAGTGCTCAATTTAACTGGCACAAAAGCTGCAATTATAACTGAGTAGTTTATCACTATATTAACCCTGTGGCCTTAGAAATCATACAGTGCCTTAGCTGTGTAAGCCATTGCATCAGCCGCTTGTTGAACAATCCACTGCAAAAATATTTATGTTCCGTGCACTGAAGGATATTGCAATGAAAGGACTGAAATCTGCACTTCATTTCCTGAGTGAAGTAATGTAGGCTTTCATCTCTTAACCACTGACATAACTATGTATATGATGGTTGAATATTTAGCAAGTGTCTAATAAAACGTCTGGGAGAGATAGCCATAAGTTGAAAACTGTTCAAGTTTATACTATAGTATGCAGAGAAAGTATTCAGAGGAGAATAAATAGGTCAGTATACAGCAAGCACCATGGTAAATCAAATGAAAGGAGCCGTAGTAAATTTTACTGGTGTCTTAATTTTGGCTAAAATTTTAGGTTTAATTGAGATTGTGAGATGTGTAAAACCTAATGTGAGTTGTATTTCCTTTAAAAGATACATTCAGAGATTTCAAAAATAACTTCAGGGGTTTTTTGCAACTATTTGCATTCAAAGTTAAACACTTGTTTGGAAACTAGGAAGCAAAACACATTAGAAGTAAAGTAAAATTACTCAGAATAATTTCATTGAGTAAACAGTTAAAGATAAGAGGAGAGAAACAGGAAAGTAATTCTGGATTGCCAAAGCCCAATAACCTCAGAACAATTTCACTTGCTAAAAAAAAATTATTTGTGCTGTAGTTACAGAATGAAGAGCAAAGTCTCCCCACTCTACCTTAAAACACAGAAGAGCTACCTAATTGCAAAATCAATCATTACATTAATGTAGGTGCTGAAGTTATCATATTAGATCAAAGAGCAGTCAAAGGAACTGTTGCTTTAATGGTTTAGTTCTAAAAATTGATCAAGTGCAAAGAAATAAACATTCAGAGAAGTTTGTGCATCCCCATTGAAGAGGAAATTGTTAATCAGGAGTAGTGCTTTTGATATTGTTAATGTTTATGAGTAAGTCTCAGTATGAAGCTTTGTAAGTAAACTTCAATATACTGCTAATTTCTTTCTCTTCTTGTTTATAAATTAGCTATGATTAGTTTTTGGAGATAGATATTTCTTCATATTCTTGTTCCTGCATACATTCTGTGTATTTAAACTGTATATAAATAGAAACATAAGTTACGTTATCTTTGCACAATTAAGAATTAAGTAGCCTTATTGGTGTGGACACAAGAATAGGACTCCAGAGCAACCTGTATATAGGCTTTTCAAAGATAAATTTTTATCTTACGAGATTTTTAGGTTATCAGCACAAAGGAGATTGACAGAAGCTGGACTGGTTGCAATAGCAAATGAAATACTGCTTGTTTTAGTGGTTATTTGTTTAAGACATCTTGAAAAGGACATACTGAACTAAAAAGGTTTTGTTTCATTGAACAATATTTCGGGGGATGGAGAATGTTGGAAGCTGTGAGCATTTGTATCTCAAGTTTGTATGGGATCTCAGACTTAGGTGAAGTTGGTGGGAATACCTGCTGCCACTGACCTTGGGTAACTGTAAGGGATTTCAGGTTCTGTGTTGGGTAATACCAGTGACCCAGGAGGTCCAAAGTGCTGGTCATGTAAAAGCTGAAGTTTAATTAAGGAGCTTTCTTGCTATGGGTGTGCCAACTGAAGTAGCTTTTTGTCCACCCTCTTACCTGTCTGTGCAGTTATGTGGTTACCTCTGTCAGAGAATAGATCAGAAATAGGCAACATCTCAGCAAGAAGGAGGTTTTTACACAGGAGACAGAAGCAAGCAAGGGCCCTAGAGCATTATTTGGGTTATAGGAGGTTATGCATATGAGTATCAGGCTTTGGGCGGACACTCGCTTCTGCATTCAGGGGTTTTTGGTGGAAAACATCAATGCCAGCTTCTGATGCATTCTTGTTTGAATATTGCTATCTGCACACATTCTTCAGCAGAGCAATTTGGGCCAATGTAGTCAACTTACGTGGTTTGAATTGATGGCCTGAGCTAAACAGTTGGGGTTCGCTCACATAAACCTCTTTTGGATCTGGATTAGCACATTTGTGCACAGCTTCAGAAAGCAGCTTAGAAAATAAAGACACAAACAAAGAATTTTGGGTAGCCATGTTTGTCAGGTGAGGCTTGGGAGGAGGCGGAGAAAAATGCTTTGGGAAAGAGCATTAGTAGCTGGGAAGACAAGTTTACACTACAGTTCAAAGAAAGTGCTGTTTATTCCAGTAGTGTTCAGGGAAAGAGGAATGTATGCCCACTCACTGTAAATAAACAAAATTGCATTGAAGAAGTAACTCCTCCTATCAGGGCCCATTCCAAACAGAAGTAACTCATTAGGCTTGAAATATTGTTTTAATCATTCAGTAGAGCAACAATAATCCCTAGAATTTAGGTAAATGTTAATTTTTCAGGCACCTGGTGTAGTTTAAGATGTTTTCTGTCCTTTAAAGGAGATTGCCCCACCTCTGGAAGGTCAACAGAAGAGAGCTAATGAGCATTCATCAGCCCCTTCATCTATTCCTCCAGCAGCTGTTTAAATAAACAAGTTAGGCTTTGTGGTAGTAAATGGCTAGCAAGGAGGTTTGGTAAAGTCTTAAATGGAAGATTTTTCCTAGATGAACATGTGTCTGATTGCTTAGTGTTTGCTATTTGGGTTTGGGAGAGCTTATATGAGAAGGCAAAAGTATTTTCTTTCATCAAAGATGGTGTTTATTCTTTTTTAAATTGCTTTTGCAGATTCCTGTTTGAAAAATCACATACCTACCACACTAACTCCACAGCCACTGAGATAATAAAAATGTTTAAGAAATAATTTGTTTATCCAAGCAATTTGGAACCCAGAACATGAGACTGTTTCATGTAAACATTCCTGTAAATATTTCAGTAAACCTTTATCTGCCTGTAGTTTTGGCCATAGAGCCCTCTCTGTTATATAGGACCTATAGGTCTAGTTAAATGTAAATGTGAGAAGTAGCTAGTGTTTGTTGTTTTGATATATTATTTAATTCAGTTGGAATATGCTCAATGACTCCTGTGCGCTACTGGAGTATGAATAACCATTTGAGTGGGGTTGGTAGTTTTAGAGATACATTTTTTTCAGTTTTCTGTCATGCAAGATTTGCTCACATACCTGAAAAGAAGATAGTCTTCAAGAGTTGCTCTTCATTAGTATCAGTGCCTGGCAGTCTTAACACTTAAAATTCCAGCAAAAAATCTTTGGAGGAAATTAAGATTGCATTGGTTCTACTTATTCAGGGAAGTTAGTCTGACTGTGAAAGAGGAGCCTCTTCAAGACAAGGTATGGAAAAATAAACTGTCGTCTGCCCCAGTTGTTTCCTGAAAAAGGGCCAAGTGTTGAGTGGAATATTTACATTAGATAGCTTCTGTGAGCTTTTATCTAACGAGGTGTTTTGGCTTCCTTTCATAGTACTTTTATTTTATTCTTCTCATTGTTCCTTAAATGAAAACGGAAATTTATGACTCTGTGAAAACTA